CTACTGGAGTCGGAGCTACTGAGGGTGTTGGCGCTGAGGCTACAGCTGTCAGTCCTGGCGGCGGTCCTGCTGCGGGTGCTGCTGGTGCTGCTGGAGGTACTGGAGCTGGAGGTGCTGTTGACGCTGGTGCTGCCGCTAGGGGTGCTGGTGCTGTCCCTGCTGTGTCTGGAGTCGCCGCGCGGCCTCGGCCGTACTTTGTTCCGCTCCTTCAGCAGGTTCTTGGTCTTCCTCCTCCCTTAGAGTGTCCACCGCCTGTCCAGTCGCAGTCACAGTTACCGCCGGCCTCCCCACTGCCTTCTCCTTCTCCGTACACTGGTCCTACTGGAGGTCTTGCTGAGCGTCGTGAGCCTGCGTCTCGTCCTGCGTCGCCTGTTCGTGCTGCTCGCACTAGTGGTCGCAGTTCGCGTCAGCGTCCTCCTCTTGTCCCTGGCACGCACCGGATGTCTCTGCGTCCGTCCACCACTCCTCTGCGTGCCCCCTTGCCCTCTCCTCCTGAATCCTCTCTTCCTGTGCTTGCCGACCCTGAGTCGGACTCTCTTCGTGCTGCCAGTCCTACTGTCACGCGTCTCCTTGCTACTGTCGTCACTGACCCCTCCTTTGAGTCCACTGTTGCGTCTGCTCTTGTTGCTGAGCTCGTCGACTTTGCTGCTCGCTGTCGTCTAGACTACGCTGCTAGTCTTGTTGCTGAGTCTGCGTCTGTCTGTCCTCCGTCCGTCGGGGGTGAGTGTGCTCTTGGCACGGACGTCCTTGAGGACAGGCAGGAGGAGTTCCAGTGTCTAGCTGCTGCTTCACCTCATCTCGCGTCCGTACTGCTTACCCCTGAGGGAGACCCGGATGCACTAGACATCTCGACTCCGCGCTCTTACGCAGAGGCCGTAGAGGGTCCCTACTCCTCTCAGTGGAAGGCAGCTATAGATGCAGAGATGGCTTCCTGGAAGTCCACAGGCACCTACGTTGACGCGGTTCCCCCTCCTGGGGCGAACATCGTCAGTGGCATGTGGATCTTCAGGGTGAAGCTGCCGCCGGGCTCTCCACCTGTCTTCAAGGCGCGGTACGTGGCTCGTGGCTTCAGTCAGCGGCAGGGAGTTGACTACTTTCAGACCTTCTCTCCCACCCCGAAGATGACCACTCTTCGGGTGTTGCTACACGTAGCCGCTCAGTGTGACTACGAGCTTCACTCCCTTGACTTCAGCACTACTTTCCTGCAGGGTAGCCTGCACGAGGAGATCTGGTTGCACCGTCCACCTGGCTTCACTAGGACTTTCCCTCCTGGCACCCTGTGGAGCCTCCGACGGCCTGTCTACGGTCTCCGCCAGGCACCGCGCGAGTGGAACGACACACTGAGGACTACACTTGCGGCTCTTGGGTTTGCTCCCTCTACTGCTGACCCGTCGCTGTTTCTACTCACCGACACCTCTCTGCCGCCGTTCCACATCCTCGTGTACGTCGACGACTTGGTCTTTGCCACAGCTGACACTGCTGGACTCGCCCACGTGAAGTCGGAGCTGCAGAAGAGACACACGTGCACAGACCTGGGTGAATTGCGCAGCTACCTTGGCTTGCAGATCACCCGGGACAGAGCACGCCGCACTATTACCCTGACTCAGTCACACATGGTGCAGCAGGTCCTTCAGCGCTTCGGCTTCACGTACTCCTCGCCTCAGGCCACTCCTCTGTCTACTCGCCACTCGCTCTCAGCTCTGCCTTCGGATGAGTCCGTAGAGTCGAGTGGCCCGTACCCAGAGCTTGTTGGCTACCTCATGTACCTGATGACCTGCACACGACCTGACCTTGCATACCCTCTTAGCATTCTTGCACGCTATGTTGCTCCTGGGAGACACAGACCAGAGCACATGGCTGCAGCGAAGAGGGTGTTGCGCTACTTGTGCAGTACGTCGGGCATGGGGCTAGTGCTTGGAGGGCCGAGTCCAGTGGTCCTCACTGGGCACGCGGATGCTTCTTGGGCAGACGACCAGTCTACGCAGCGGTCGTTACAGGGTTACACCTTCAGCCTTGGTTCCGGCTCTGTTTCGTGGCGGGCTACTCGCTCGTCTTCTGTTCTTGGCTCCAGTTGTGAGGCTGAGATCTACGCCGGGGCCATGGCTGCACAGGAGCTTTGCTGGCTTACCTACCTGCTGACTGACCTCGGAGAGCCGCCTCGTTCTCCTCCGGTGCTGTACGTAGACAACAAGGCCATGCTAGCCTTGTGTCGGGAGCAGCGCCTGGAGCACAGAACGAAGCACATTGCTCTCCGCTACTTTCTTGCTCGTGAGTTGCAGCAGCGTGGTCAGTTGCGACTTGCGTACGTGGCCTCTGAGGCCAACACTGCTGATGTTTTCACCAAGGCACTTGCGCCTTGTGATCATCAACGCTTCTGTACTCAGCTTGGTCTTGTGCCTGTCTTGCCTCACTTGCTCACCTCTTGACCTTGCTTGTACTGTTACATATATATACACCTGCTCTTGCTTGTCTAGCTTTCTATATATATGTACTCATGCATGTGAACTGGCCTTGTGGCCTTGAACGTGTGCTCGGAATGTGTGGTGACTTTGTGATCCACCCTGAGCTTGCTTTGCTTTGCTTTGCTTGACTGGTCTTGTGACCGCTTGTTCTCCCCCACTTTGCCTATGGGGGTGTGTCAGAACATTATAGCTTATGCTTTTGTGTAGGCTGTAGTGGGGTAGCCCATATGGGGTACAACCCAATTATGGTTAGTACTTGTACCCAACTGTTTTATAGTTCATCCATTTCTCGTTCACATTTTCTCATAATCAACCTGGACTTTCTCAACATTGATTGGTCGCCGCTTTATATTCACATTTCTCATACTGGTCGAACTCATTAGGAAGTGACAAAAACAGAACCATCCAGTTTACCCTCCAGACTTGGATATAAGAACGGAAATTTAGGTAGTAAGAGAATGAAGCCCATATAATTCACTTGGTAGTGCTCAGTAGCATAACCGACCGCGAAACAAAGCTACCGAAAGCACTAGACGACGCTACTAAGAACTATTCGGGCATGGCAGAAAAAAAAAAACCCCTAGGAAACCTGGATGTTTTTTTTTTTCGAGAGGGGTCAACCTAAACACTGGAATGGAAATTGTTTTTAGGTTTGATGCCTCCCGAGTCGCATCCCTTTCCGATTGTTTTTTTTTTTTTTGTCAAAGGGGTTGCAATATGTTTTCCAAAATATTGGGCGGCTTTCGGTATTTAGGTTTGATCCTTCCCGGAAATCATATAGGTTCGCTACGGGTTATATATATATATATTTTTCAAGCGCTGCAATTATTTTTTTGAATGCCTGTATACAATTATGAGCCAGAAAAGCTTCCTACTATATCGCGAAACCGTTTTTCTGTTGGTGATTACACCTGAGAACGCGCTCAGGCGAAATTTGAGTATCGGAGATTATGGCCGTTGATAAGATCTTTGGTAGGCTGACATGACTAATAAAGTGCAGCCACGCGATTGGGACATAGAAATCTTGATATCAGCTCCTCCAATCCGCCCTGCCCTTGCTCGAATACCGCCCATCAGCGCGGAGGGTTGAAGAAAGTGTCCGTCGATCTCAAACAGCTGGCACCAACACAATCCTCGATCACAGTAAAGTCCGCCACGTCGGAGGGTGTGCATTCAGTCAGCCCTACGCGACAGCCTAGCCTCCACACAGTGTTTCTGGGTCAATCCTCCTTCCACCTTCAAATTAGGACCGCAGGAGTGTATTTCTTGTTACGTGCTCTCAGAAGCAAGTGAGGGCGTGTCCGAAGTGCCCCTCGACATCCATCCGTCATCCATCCGTCATCGGATGGATGACGGTGGCGGATGACGGGGGTTGATGGATGGATGACGGTTGGATGTCGAGTCACTTCGGACACACTGCCGGCGACATAACTGCCCAAAAAAAGCCGGCCGGTACTGTTGACCAGAGAAAATGTTAAATGTTCAAATTTGAATCTAACGAATTTCGCTAACATGTTTCGTCACCCCCCACAGTCACAAAGGACGGTCGATTGCCAAGAGATACTTTTGCCATATTTCCCCCTCAAAATTTGTTATCAAACTTTGGGTTCATTGACTGCCTCGTTGACCAGCCCGATGTCTCTGTTGGCGGCACCCTTGACTGTAATGATTACACATGGCTGGATGACGGATGGATGTCGGTCGGATGTCAAATCTCTTCGGACACAACGCCGGCCTGTAAATTTTCACCCACACCCCCGACATCCGTCGACATCCGTCGACATCCATTGACATGTCACTTCGGACACGTCCTAAGAGTCTCTAGGCTCTCCCCTGTGTTAGCAAGTTGGCGCTTAGCACTCTGTTTCTGTCGAAATTCGTCACGGGCAAATTGACTTCGACGACTGATTTCCTGCCCTAGTCTCCTGCTCATAACCATACCAGACCACACTTTTCGCCCACCGTTCGCCTCCTCATCAGCCACCTCATCTTCTCCAGCCCCAATTCCCTTATCCATTTCCTTCGTCTCTCATCTTGCTTTCTCAAACCTCTTAATCCAGTCTCTTACTCTTTCGTCTCGTGTGCATCATAGACCCACTTCTGTATTATAACAACACACGTTTATTCAGATCGGCTAGATAGTTTGCGCTCAACCTTCTCTTTCCCATTAGCAACGTGCGCGTGCTTTTAAGATTCAGAACTGCGGAAACTTTCTCCAACTCTACATAAAAAATGCTTCTCCGCCTCGCGAATCCACATGCCGCCAGGCGGCCCATTGCCCAGATGCTTCCCGAGCCCTCAGCATCAGCATCAGCATCCGCAACATCATCAGCATCGACGCTCTCTAACAACCACCGCTTCACCAGAAGCGCTTTTGTTACCACAGAATGTGTGACGCGTCGCAGACCATTCCACCACCATGGCCCATTCAACGTCATGACACCATCACCCGCATGTCGCAGACCCTCTGGTGTCGTTAGCGCGACAGCGCGTTCGAGGAGCAGCCGGCGCGCGTCGTCACAGCAGTCGGGTTTGACGATGCGAGATCGAGACCTCTCTGGTCGGACTCTCGTGTTGCCCACGTCGTTCGCGAGTGGTTCGCTGTTAGCGAGAGCCCCGGACGCGACGTTGATCCGTGCGGCTTCTGGATCTTCTGAGCCCTCAAGCGCAGGTAATCCGTTGCGCTGCGGTGATTCTCTGGGGTGCTGACTTGCGATACTACCCAGTGTCCTGTGCGGGATCATACCGCTGTCGTGGTTATTCCGTTCGACGGGCTAGTTTCTGTGCTTGTGCAAGTACCGTATGCTGCCCGACTTGTCCTTCCCCAATTTCTTTTGCGGGACTGCGTGGAATGTAAGCCTCTTCTTCCGGATCTTCTTCTACTTCTCATTCTGGCAACTGTTTCTTCTCGTTTGAGCGTCTGTGCATAACCCGCTGCAAACCCCAGCTGTTTCACGCAGAAAGAAAACGGCCTCTGAAAGTGCACCAGCTAATCCACCCTCACGATTTTTATTTTATTTCATTTCATTTTTTCATTTTTTTTCTGTATCTCTCGCAGCTAGTCCTCTTCATTCGTATGCGTGTTGCACACTCTCTCGTCTACCCACCTAACTACGTCCCTGCCTACTTATATCCGTGACCACCTACGTACCTGCCTACTTGTCTTCCCCACCTGCGAACCATGCAGCGGCGGCACCGGGAGGGTCGGTGACAGTGGCGTTCCGTCTGGCCCGGCAGTGCGCCTACGGGCAGAAGTTCTTTGTATCTGGCGCGCACGAGACGCTGGGCGAGTGGGATCTGAAAAAGGCGATACCTGCGCAGTGGTCGGAAGGGCACGTGTGGACGGCCACGGCGGTGAGAACGATGAGTCGATTCAAAGGTCAAAAGTCTTTATGAGTCGGCTCAGACGAGCGTGCACGAAGCTTTGGGCGGGTGGGATCTGGAGAAGGCGATACCTTCGCAGTGGACGGAAGGGCACGTTTGGACGGCCACGGCGGTGGGACTGACCTTCTCACTGGCAGGCTGGCTAACTGACGGACGGACGGTCTGACTCATTGCCTGACTGACTGACTGACTGACTGATTGACTGACTGACTGACTGATTGACTGACTGACTGACTGACTGACTGACTGACTGAATGACTGACTGACTGACTGACTGACTGACTGACTGACTGACTGACTGACTGACTGACTGACTGACTGCCTGACTGCCTGACTGACTGACTGACTGACTGACTGACTGACTGACTGACTGACTGACTGACTGACTGACTGACTGACTGACTGACTGACTGACTGACTGACTGACTGACTGACTGACTGACTGACTGTCTGAGTGACTGACTGACGGACGAACTGTCCGACCCACTCACTCACCTCCAAAATAACTTACTGGCTCTCTCGCTGACTAACTAATAGACTGACTGACTGACTGACTGAATGTGCTCCTGACAAGTATTAAGAAGAACCCAAGAGGTACCCTCACGTTCTTTCATTTACCCCGATTTGCCAGCCGTACCCTTCCAATCGATCAGATCAAATACTGATAACCTGCATGTACTTTTCACTGTGCGAAGCAGTCAAGGTGGTAACCCTTGTCGCTGATCGTTGCTTGCTAGATGATGGACATCAACGGTGGTTTTGCGGGACAGCCTAGTGGCAGGTCGTGCAGCCTAGTGGCAGGTCGTGCAGCCTAGTGGCAGGTCGTGCAGCCTAGTGGCAGGTCGTGCAGCCTAGTGGCAGGTCGTGCAGCCTAGTGGCAGGTCGTGCAGCCTAGTGGCAGGTCGTGCAGCCTAGTGGCAGGTCGTGCAGCCTAGTGGCAGGTCGTGCAGCCTAGTGGCAGGTCGTGCAGCCTAGTGGCAGGTCGTGCAGCCTAGTGGCAGGTCGTGCAGCCTAGTGGCAGGTCGTGCAGCCTAGTGGCAGGTCGTGCAGCCTAGTGGCAGGTCGTGCAGCCTAGTGGCAGGTCGTGCAGCCTAGTGGCAGGTCGTGCAGCCTAGTGGCAGGTCGTGCAGCCTAGTGGCAGGTCGTGCAGCCTAGTGGCAGGTCGTGCAGCCTAGTGGCAGGTGACGCTAAGCATGCTGAAAGCAAGCAGGCTCACAGTAATCTCAGAACTCTGCAGCAGCGAGCGTCAGCTGGGGTGGCGAATTTCTTTTATTGGTCTCCTACGGGGCTTCACGAGGGGTTTCAGGAGGGGGTTCACCTTGAAGGTGATGTGCGAATCGCATTCCTCCCAATCGCATTCTTTCCACGTCTTATGGTGCCCTGACCCTCCCTCCCACGTGGTACCTACATCGCAATACGTCTCTGCGTTTAAGCATGTGATGGAGGGGAAGCGAGGGCAGGTGGAATGTCAGAAAGTACCGTCTCCTTGGAAGAAATAAACCCTACCAACCGCTCTCCTTCCGCTCTCTGGCGCCTTACCCTCCCTCCCAGGTGGTGCCTCGCAATGCGCCTCTGCCGTTCGAGTGTGTGATGGAGGGGAAGGGAAGCGAAGTGAATTGCCAGTAAGCACTGAATCCTCAAAAATAACTAGTCCCTTGTCCAACCTCTCTCCTTCCACTTGTCCTTCCTCCAATACCTCTGGTGCTTTCCCCTCCCTCCCAGGTGGTGCCTCGCAATGCATCTCTGCCGTTCAAGTGTGTGATGGTGGGGAAGCGAGGCGAGATAGAGTGGCAGAAGGGCGGCAACCATTGTCTAGACACCACGGCAGTGGGTGCAGTGATAGATGTGGACGTGCCATGGAGCACTGCTGAACCGCTGGTCATTTCCAACCGGGACGACCTTGACTTCCCCTCCTCTCCTGCTTCTCCTGCTGCTGCTACAGCTGCTGGTGTGCCTGGGGCTGAAGCGGCTGATGCGGCTGATGCTACTCCTGCTCCTGCTGCTACTCCTGCTGCTGCTCCTGCAGTTGCTCCCTCTGTTGCTGTTCCTGCGGCTGCTGCTGCCTCTACTTCCAAGTCGCTGCTTGCTGTTCCTCCCCGCAGACGAGCTCCTGTAGGGGCAACCCCTCCTCCCACACGCCCTGCTGCCAGTGCAGGTTCAGCTACGTCCCCTCGAGACTCGGTGGATTCAGCTCCTTCTGAAGCAGCAGCAGCAGCAGCAGCAGCAGCCCCGAAGCTACGGAAGTCAGTGAAGCCCCGTTTAAGAAAACCACGACCGGCACCACAGCAGCAGCAGGGAGGGCCTTCAGCAGAGCAGTAGCAGCAGCAGCGGCAGCAGCGGCAGCAGTGGCAGTAGTAGCAGCAGCGGCAGCAGCAGCAGAAACAGCAGCAGAGACTCCAGACATTAGGGACAAGAAGGGATGACGTTGGAAGTGCCACAGTGGCAGTCAACTAATGTTATCACGGAGTCAACTTGAGAGTCAGAAGTTTCCTTAGTGGTTGCTCTGCATCAGCTAATAGCTGACTCAGCTGCGTCGCTGCAATAGCATCTTGGCTGCAGTCAAAGGGTTAGACGTGAGGAGAGAGCCCTGGGAAAGGGAGCTTAGCAGTGACGGGTGTTTGCTATGGTATGGTTTCTAGGAGCATGAAGTCGTGAGAAAGAGCATTCTGACTTGCCGGGACGACAGGTTGTTAGAAAGATGGTGTGGTGGGATGATACGGTATGTCACCACATCACACCACATCACACCACACCACACCACAACAAACCACATGATGGTAACATGTGACTCGTGTCATGACTTGTGACGGTTGCGGCAGTGAATACTGGTAAAATGGAGCACCATGGACATCGTAGAGAGCATCATGAAGCATCCATGCATGCATGGATGCATGCTTGCATTGCATACCCCTCATGTAGACTGTTGGGGAAGATGAGGGGCAGAATAGTAGCAGCTAGTGCTGTAGAGAGGATGTGAAATTCCAAGACTTAACAGTACGAGAAATTCCATGTTGGAAATCCGAGTACAGTATAACGAATACTGTATACCAGTGTGCTGTTTGGTTTCAGTGTAGTCCCCTTTACAAGCCTCCAGGTCCTTCAATAGTTGTCATAATTGTTGTAGGGCCATAATTATTGGAGCCTAGCATTATTGGAGGGTAGGGGGAAAAATTATTGGTGCACTATTATTAGTGTGAATGGGGCCATCCTGTGAGAGTTAGGTGGGTCCATAAATACTCTGCTGTGTTACTTCTTAATCAATCAATTCTCAACCCATTTCCAATGCAAGCTTTCTATCTTGTTCTTTCTACAAACGCGTTTCCGCTACGCCGGCACTATGCCTTTCTAGCATGGTATCAGAGCTACTCTAGGGGGCATGCTGCCAAATTTGGTTCAGAAGTTTGAGTACCGCGTAAAGGTGTCTGCATACAGTCAGAGTACCGCACACCCGGTCTACGCTAGTGTATACCTGATGTTTGCTTCCGTGTCCAACCGCGCATTTAGCGCACACTTGGTGTACGGTTTGATCAACATTATGGCGCACTTCGACGATGAATAAGATGCTGGATATGCGGCTTTCGAGGAAGCCATATTGGCTCAACACGAGCACTTGGAAAACATTATCGCAAGGGCACCACCCGCACTTCAGGCATCACTACGGGTCAAGTTCAACATGCCAACGACAACACACTCTGACGGGCTCAGCAATCCGTCAACTCATGGGCAATCTCATTCAAGCACTCCTCGTACTAACCAAACTCGTGCATCATATGTTCATGCAGGAATTGATGGTGACGGAGAAATGGGTATACCTCAAGGAAGAAAGTCATCCCAAGGGAGGCATGCATCCGTCCAAGGAGAGGAGAGCGCCAATCCCGCTCCTCAATCGTCCATGCAAAAGGAAGCACGGGGGAGGAATTATGAGTATGGGAGTGCAGTGCATGGTGGAATGTGAAGTTGACAGATTGGGCAGCAGGGTGACGGAAATGGTCAAGTGGGCGTGGAAGGTGTGGGTTTTGCCTCCTACACTATTGGTGCTCCCCCACTACGATGACTTGCAACTAACTCCCATCCCATTGGAGTTCCTCCCATGGCCAGGTCTCACCTTCATGGCAGCTACAACATCATTCCTCCACGTGCACATCGTCCACCAATCGGTGCACACTCTGTGGATAGCATGGGGCGGATGGGATACGGAATGCACTCAAGTGGTGTCATGCAACGTGATCAAGTGGAAGTGCTGGAACGTCAACTTGGTGGCCAGAATGGAGATATACAGCGCACAGTGCAGCTACCTCGACCGTCAAACTTGCCTACTCTCTTCGACCCCGCTCCACGTGAATACACGGAGGAAGACAAAGAACGGTTGTCACGCAAAATGGTGGGAGCAACAATGGACAAGACATTCACCACCACTCCGTTTGACGACTCGAATTTCCGCGAATGGGCACTGCGGTTTCGTATGAACGCTCGTGTCACGAATTTGTGGGAGTTCTTTGTGACTCTGCAGTATCCGGTTACCATGGGAGATGGTGACATTGACGACGCTATGGGGCGTCTTGAAATGCTACAGGCGGATTACTCACAGCGTGCAACACTCGTTTTTTGGGTCCTACTACACAGTGTGAGCGCCACGATTCAGCTGCAAATGGACATGTTCCAGGAATCCTACAGCCCGGCATTCGAAGCGTGGGAGTACTTAATGGATACTTACCAGGCTAAAGATTCGGTGGCGAAGGTCTCCCTCTTGAAGTAGTTGGACAACCTGAAAATGGGGAATCAAGAGAGGGTGGAGGAATATGTGAACCGCGCAACGGCGATTCGGGACAAGTTGGCACTGGCGGGGAAGATGGTGGATGAGGACAAATTCACCTTGTTAGAATCCCAAGTGGGACTTAACGAAGGATCGCTCAGGGTTGATCGCAGAGTAGTGTTGCAGCGGAAGATTTGAATCTCAGGTCAAAATGAATGTAAATGACTGAGTTGATGATAGCATGCATACATCGAGTTTATATAAGAATACAGAGGAATACGAAAGGACCTAGACTAGCCATGTACTCTAAGGGGTACATTCCCTTATTTACAGTAAATTCAAACCGTGCGGCGCGCGAACCCGTTTTGAACCTGTTCCCGCTCTTTTCACTTCAAATGTTTCTGCCTGCATCGGTCCTGGTCAGACGGTTGCTGCGTCGCTTCGACTCTTCTGACTCCTCGACTTCGTACTCGGTAGAGTCGGCTCCTGCAGCATACAGGAATGCCTTACTCATAAAACTTCATATCGTAACACTCCCCTTCATTCCTGGGGGCAAGGAGAGCTGACTCGCTTGACTACTCCAGTGAGGTCAGAGCAGTGCTTGTACTGTTGACGTGGCAGTCGCTTGGTGAGGAAGTCTGCTGCCATCTGAGTGGTTGGGCAGCATGCGAGGTCAACATTTCCTTGGTCGATTTCGTCCTTGACGAAAAAGTACCGAAGTGCGATGTGCTTCGTGCGGTTCACGAACCCTGGCTTGTTTGCAATCCTGATGGCACTCTGGTTATCGCAGTGAAGACGAAAGGTAGGCGAAGTTGGAATTTTCGCCTCCTGTAGCAGCTCTTGCAGGTACAGGCCTTCGCGAACTGCTGCTGTTGCGGCGATGTATTCAGCTTCAGCCGACGACAGGGCAACCAGCTCCTTCTTCTGCGAGTTCCAGGAGATTGGCCCAGTTGGTTCCAGGCGAAAAACAAAGCCGGTTCGGGACCGTCGATTGTCAGGGTCAGCGGCGTGATCTGCGTCCACGTAACCGTTGAGGTTAAAGGAGGTTGTCGTCAGCGTGGAATAGGAGAGCCCAATGTCAGGCGTGGAGATGAAGTACTACAGGGCGTGTTCCAGGTCCAGCTGGTTCTCAGCTACTGGCTTGCGAGAATACTGCGCCATGTCAAACATTATATATGTTTCTGTTGTGTAGGCTACAGTGGGCTAGCCTTTAGGGGGTACATTTCACTAGGGTTTCCTACTTGTACTCCAACAACATTCTAGTTCATCACTTCTTGTTTCTGACATGGTATTAAGAGCTTAGGTTCTAGACCTAAGGGCCCACCGTTCCGCTAGAGGTGCCCTCGTGCGCCCCCCCTTTTTTTAGCGCCCTCGTGCGCCTCTCCTCTAGAGCGCCCTCGTGCGCTCTCCTCTTACGCTGCCCGTGTGCAGCTCGCTAGCAGCTCGAGCGCGGCCCCGCCGTTTTAGCGCGCGTAGGAAATCCGCCGCCTAGGGCGGCCCGATTTTTTCTCGCGAGCCCCAGCAGGCCGCCGCCCGTAGGCCCTGCTCGCCCCTAGGCCGACGCGCGACCCACAGCCGCCCGCCCGCAGGTCGCAGCCAGCGCGCCGCGGCGATCGCGCGTCGGCTGTTGCAGCTAGCGCTTAGCCGCCACTAGAACGCAGCCGCGGCCCGCGCGCAGCCGCACCCTAGGCGCCGCCGCGCACCGAGCATAGGCCCGCCGTCGCGCTGCCATACCTACCCGAGCCGCGCCGCCCGAGTCGCGCCGCCCGAGTTGCGCCGCCCGAGTCGCGCCGCCCGAGTCGCACCGCCCTGACCGAGCTGCGCCGCCCTACCTGCAGCAACTGCTCTTCATGCTCCTACTGCTACTACTGTTGCTACTGCTAGTGCTGCTACTGCTACTACTGCTACTGCTCCTGCTACTCCTGCTACTGCCACTATGGCCAGTCCCACTGTTCTCACCTTTGACGCCGAGGGCCGCCCGATTAAGTTTGATGTCTGGCTTGATGACCTTCACCTGTACCTCCAGATCACTGCCAAGGACGATGTTTCCCTCTATGACCACACGTCCGGCGCTGCTCCCGCACCTGCTGCTACTGCTGACAGTACTGGTCGCTCACAGTGGCAGACTCGTGACGCCCATGCTCGCCTATCCGTTCGCAGCCATCTGCCGTTAGATGAGCGCTAGCACTTCGGCCAGCATAAGACCGCTAAGGAGCTGTATGACGCTGTAGTTGCCCATTACTCCTCCCCTGCCACTGCTGCGATAGGCCGTCTCTCACTGCCCTACCTCTTCCCCAATCTGTTTGCCTTTGCCACTGTAGCTGACCTCATCACTCACCTCCGTACCAGTGATCTCCGCTACCGTGCCGCACTCCCCCTTGATTTCCTAGCCAAGAACCCCCCCCCCCCGATGTACCTCACCCTCTACCACCTGGTCACTCGCCTCCC